GAATCAATGATGATTACTCCACATAATGATCGATTTCAAAGTAAATTAATTGATATCGAAGATCTAAGATATAAGTTCATCGTTAGCATAGCTTACCGGAAGCATTTCTTTCGATTTCAATGATGTTTTTTTATTACAGAATGTTCTGATAAAAGTCCTAACAGTATTGCAGTTCTCATTGGTTTTTGACTAAGCTACTTTGCATATATAGAGAATTCAATAGATTAGTTTTCATAAAAAAACTCAGAAGATTTAAACAACATTTCTTCAAAATATGAAACTTTTAAGATGTATTGAATGTAATGTAATTGAGCTCTCTTTAGGTCAAAACTAGATAGTTTACTTAAGTATCAATAGCAATCCAAATCTTTTTAGGCTGTTTATTAGAATACAGTCATTGAAATTGGAACGAAGCAGCTGTAAAGATTGTCTCGTTAGGCTGTTGGAAACCAAAGAATTATTCCTTATTACTGCCGACAAAATTGAACTTTTACGGTAGTTAAATGAATGCTGTGGTTCAGGAACACCAATTTCCGAATTTCGATTGGAAACTTTGAATCAAACGTGTATTTTATATCGCTCATATACATTGGCAGATTTTATGTTCTTATTTCAAGATAGAAGTAAATCAAATTTTCAGGTGTTTCTGAGAAATGTTTCATATATCTCCAGAGCAATAAGCTAAGGTCTTCAAGTCCTTATGAGTCTGTAGGATGAACATAGTTTCGAATTCAAAATTTTGAAATCTAATCTAGAATAATTCCAAATAGACATTCGTTTGATTGAATGTTTGTTAAATGAATATCAATTTGATACAATGTATTTTGTACGAATTACTCAAATCAAATTGTTAAGATATTTTCATAGTATTGGTTTTAATAAATTCTTTGAATAATATTATTGCTCAACAATGATCGACCATTGATCATCAACACATAGGAATGATGTAATGAAATGTGACATCCTATTCTTATCTCGTTCGTATTAACAACATGCAATCATTCTATTCATATTTAATCACTATATGTGTGATTTTTCTCTTCTTTCATAACCGACGCAGTTGATTGCCTTTTCGCTTCTCTCTATCATTCATATATTTTACATATAAACATGTGGATGTAAGAAGATTGGGTCATATAGTGGTGTGAAGAAGTCAAAAATAAAATGAACATCCTCACCTTTCGGGGATTCTTGCGTTCAAATTTGTCACGAGGAGTTCGAACTTAAAACTAAAAAATTTCAATTTCTGAGCAGCTTTAAATGTTTCAGATATACAAAATCCTTTTCTTAGTATGACCAACTCAAAAACTTGAACCAAACACAACTATCTTGAGTGTAATTTAATATAGTTTTTTGCATCCTGATTCTAACTACGGCTTTTGCAAAAACGATGGAGTTCCTTAAGGAACAATCTTTTTCATTTGTTATTTGATCCAACGATGCTTGTTAAAAGATGATCTGCTTTTCTGAGCTTCATTTTTATCTAGAACGTTTACTTGAATATCGTTTCGTAGCAAGATGTTAAGTTCTCAATTCAGATCTAAATGAGTCTCTATCGATAATAAAACTTTGAAAAGGATTGAACAAATAACTAGCGAATTCAATTCAACAGATTCTACCTAATGAGGAATATTTACATGAAGTGATTTCCTCATTCTTTTTGTTGTTCTATTTTTAAGAAAGATAATTGTTGATGAAAAATAAGATTTCTCATGAGAAATATATATCCATTAATAATAACAGATATTAATATCTTTTCAGTAAAATATACAAGAAATGTTCTTCAAAACTTTTTTTTTTATTTTTTCAGACACACCTGATAATGATGATGATAATTTACCTTCATATACCGATTTATTTGTTGTACCGAGTAGTTGCAAACAAGAACGTATACAACGACGAAGTTCACGTTTCAATAATCAATAAATGAAATATTCTTGTCTATTTAACATAACATATCCTTGTATGTTACCTTTGTGTCTGTCGAATGAATTTTTTCTATATATATAAATGTCAGTATCAATATTGTGCAAAGATAATAAATCTTAATTTATATATGTGTAGATGTTGTTATTACCTATTTGTTGTTACTGTTTAATTAGTCATATTTTCTTTTTTTTGATTGTCAGAGAACAAAAAACAAAGATGTACACATTAATCTCTATCTGTTGACTTTGTATAGAGTTTTTTTTTTTGTGTCTTCTACTTTTTCTTCCAGAATATATTCATGACATGATTTCAAAAAAGCCTTTGACAACAAATGAATTATGTGATTATTAGCCATAGAGATATTTACTTTATCATGAAAAATCATACCAAAAAAACAATAAAAGAACTTAGTGAATAAAACTAAATACAAGTGATTCATATTCAGATGGAAAATTTTCGGAAAAAAAAAGAAAAAATCATGATCATTGTATGTAAGAATATACAATGATAAGAAGGCACTTCGGCTTTTGATACTAATAACGTGCAAGTATAGATCACCGGTTAATAACATTTTTTTTTTTGTTAAAGTTGAATTTGTTTTATGTTCTATAGTTCTGTTACTCTGATAGGTACCGAACGAGACATAGACACTGTTCGATTGCTTTCATTGATTAGCATTGATGTATCTTGTAATGAATCATATATATGATTACTAATACTTGGTGATGATTTAGATGGAATTGGTGGTGGTGGTCGTTTTGGTGGTTTAATATGAATACGTGCTTTATCTGGTTGTATACACTGATTAATAAATGGTATAATCGATGATGAAGATGAAATTTTATTTGATTTTGAACGTTGTGTTGTTGATAATTGTGAAGAAATTTCTTTAGCTGATTTTGAACGTTTAAATATTAGACCATGAGTTTTTATTGGAGAAGTATCAGGTGGTGAAGTTGATTTAGTACGATACGTTTTTTCTTCAGTTTTATTTGTTTTAGAAGAATGAAATGATGATGAACGTGTAAATGATGTATTTGATGTTTTAAGACGATCTATTTAGGAAAAAAACGAAAGTATTATTTTCCGTTTAAAAAATGTTATGAATCTACGAGATACTTCGTTTGAAATTCTCAGTATATCATTTCGAATATTTTAAAATTTAAAATGGAATACTATTCTTTTCAGAAACTCTTTAAAGTGTTGACGAATTGTACTAACTTCAAATATACTATTGACATTTTTCTTTTTTTCTTACACATCGAATAAAAAATATTTTCATTAAATATTTATCTTATAAATTATCAAATTGATTTGTAAATTTAAGTAACATACCTAATGAATAGGACATATATTTTGTAGATGTACTATCAATATCAATAAGTATATTATGTTTATCTGTTGAATTAGAAATAATTTGATTAATTGGTAAAGAAATACTTGAAATAGATTGTTGAATTACTGATGTTGTTGGTGTAATAAAATTAAAATAATGTTGATTAGGTAATAGATTAACAAGATTATCAATTTCATCATTAACAACTTTAATCATTTGTTGATAATTTCTATATAATTGTACACCATATAAAATAATACGTATACCATTTATCCAACGTTGATATTCATCATATGTATTTGTACATAAATAATGTATATATTTATTAGATTTTTTTTGTATATGTGCATGTTTTAATGCAAAACCATATGATGTTGGTGATCGTAAATATTCAATCCAATTATTAGCATAATATAATTGTATATTTGTATCAAATTTAAGTAAACAAATAAGATCTTGTTTCATTGATGAAGTTTTTGGTATTTGATAAATACCTGATTGACGTAAAATACATGTATATTTTTTCCATATTTTTCGATTTTTATCTTTTATATAAAGTATACTTGTTATATCATCAGGTAAAATAATTGTATCTGTTGATATATAATCAGTTAAAATATCATCAATAAATTTATTATTAGATGAAAAAATTTTTTTTGGTTCTTGAAATAACATATATTTATTTTCATTTTCTTGAAAACATATTCGATTATGTGTATCACGTGACCAATAAATTAAACCATCATTTATTAAATTTTGATGATCTTCAAATATACGATATAAATATAGATCAGGTAAATCTTCAACAATTGAATAATTTATTGTTGGTTTTAAATGATATTTATGAATAAGTAATATTAATATTTGATATATAGACATTGTTTCATCAATTAAAATATTTTTTGTTGATTGATCTTCATTATAAATTTTAACAAATAATTTTTTTATATTTGCTTCATGTATTTTTTCTAATGCTAAACGTATTTGATTTTCTTCATTATTATTTTTTAATGTATCACATGATATAACCTATTTACAAAAAAAAAAAAAAAGAACTTTTTTTAAAAATTTTGTTTTTTTTTTATTTACACTAGAAGCATTTGATATTTGTTGACTTATTAATGGTAAATTAATTGAATCTGTTGATTGAGATAGACCACTATCAGAAAAATGTTCTTCATTTCCATTTTGATGATGATGATGATTTCTATTTAAATCACTTATAGCTGATGATGATGAACTATTACCAGAATCAACAAATTCAATTTCAATATTATTTAATGTATTAGTTAATGTAGCTAATGTTTGATCAAGTTCATTGAATTGTTCAATTATTGTTGATGAAATAGATTTTTTTTTTTGATAAATTTTTTTCATTAGAAAATATTTTTCTTTCATCTAATCGTTGTTCAAGTTTATGAAGTTGATCAAGTAATATGTCAAGATCATTTTCTAAAAATGAAAAAAAAAAACGTAGAATATTTTAATTTGTTTCCTTTCAGTAAGATTTTTTTTTTTTGTCAAGTGCTGCAGAATATTTTATTTAATTCATAAGTATATTACACTTCTTCGTTCTGATGATGTAGCATTAAAAAAAAAGTGAACTCTCCAGAGGAAATGTAAAAAAAACAAATTTTTAGCTATGAGCATTTCGTCAATACATAATCATTTATATTATGCCTCAATGTGTATTTCCTTTCTTTCTAATGGGTATTACGTGATCATAAATTAATATTTATTTATTTATTTTACAACAAAAATAAAATAAAAAATTACCTTGATTTATATTAGATATTATTGGTGATAGTGTTGTTTTACTTCGAGCTTGTCGTTCTAATGTTGATAATTCTTCATAAGCTTCTCGAATTTCCTATAATATAAATAAAATAAGATTCTATACACATCATATTCAATGTTTATCTTTTACAAAGTACTGAGACAGACATGAAATTAGATGACAACTCTTCTTTTTTTTCTTCTTCTATTAAATCGCCTTATCTTTAGAAACTAAATAATGTCAATAAAACATTCTAGCCTATTATGTTAATCAGTTTATAACTGTTTCGGTGCCAGATGGAAAGTAGAAACTCATAAATCTATTACACATTCGCTTTAACAATCTGACACCGAAATAAATGCATTGACTGAACAGAAAAGTAACAGTCTTTGTCATCAATCATAATTCAAAGAAGTGTCTGTTTCTTATGAATTGGAATGATCAATCAAGAGGAAGTATGACACAATGAAAAAAAAAGAAAAGTAGTCTTACTTCTTTTAAAGTATTTAAATCACCAAGACAATTTTCAACATTTAAATTAATTGATAATTCATTTTGTTTTTCATTACTATGCTTATTATTTAGCATAAAATTTTCATCATGTTGATCATTATCATCCATTTCAGATTCTTCACTTATACTAGACATTGAAGATCGACGTAAATACATTCGATGATACATTTTTATTTATAATTAAAAATATCTTTAAAAGAAAAAAAAATAAAAATAAAAAATATCTACTGTTTCTCTACTTGTCTATTTTATTCATATATATGTAAATTGATTGAACAACGTCAGTTGTGATGTATGATGTAATGTTATGCGTGAAAATTCATAACGAAGTAGTAAGTACTACTTCACGCATGACATGTAGAAAGAAAAAAAAAAATGACCGACCGGTGAACGTTGCTGTGTATTTTACGGTCAAATTATGATTTATTTTACCTTTTTTCTTTTTTCCCTCTTCTATAACGTGTGTGTTCAACTCACCGTAATAATGTTCTTAGTGGATTAAACTGAAGGGTGTGAAAAATTCATTACTAGTTCTGAATGTTTATTGGAAGAAAGAAACAAGACAAGCTTGATATAAGAAATGATAAGAATAAACATTCAGATTGCTAGACTCACAAACAGTACTAATGAATAGATAACCTTGTTGATGGCATAAACAAACTCTCATTCACTCAATATCAGCATGTCATCATAGTTGATAGAAATGGTTTAGTCTTAAAAAATGAATGAAATTTAAAGAATGTCTATAGGTGTTCGAAGTGGTGAGCGATATAAAGTTTTTCTTTTTTTTTTTCTCTCTCGTACCGAAAGTATGGTACTCTCATGAGTATTGTCCGATAGACTTTTTCTTTTTTTTTTTTTTCTTTCCCCTCTCTCTCTCTCTTTTGGTCTTTTGTTCGCTTTGTCTATTGTCTGGCTATCTTTTCTCTCATCGACTGCTTAATCATCAATAGTTTGATGAATAGCAACACACATAAAGGTTACGTCGTAGGAGTATTCGTGTTGAGGGACGTTCAATGTGTGGATGTATTTATTCATTTTCTTATCGTCACTTCATTTTCTCTCTTCTTTTTTTTGTGTCATACAGCCACTTATAAATAACTTATGCAAACACAAGATATACCTTACCCACTCTACCTTGAACTTCGACAGTCATTGATGAATATAAAACAGGATGAATCAATGGGCATAACTAAATGTATCTCGAAGATATCATACAAAAGAAGAGGGAGAGAAGAAAAAAAAACGAGAAATATATGTTAAACAGTTAAAAGATTAGAATCACTAGAGATGTTCACAATATGTCTATGCATATTCGTTCATTTTTTTTAGTAGCCGATTTGATGCGTCTCGGCACACGAATACACACGAATGAATCGATCCTTCATTATCCGATCATTATAGACTTCACATAGAGACACACGTACATGCAATGAATATATTCTCATTTAATCAATATGAGATGAAGTGTATATGACACGTACTCACGTTATATACATACACACACATATATATATATATAACTATATCAACCAGATACCATAGTATATTTTTGTTATGATCAATGAATAGTTTTGTACATATTTAGATATACATATGTAATTATGTGTACTATTTTCATATGACATAAAAATCCTATCGACACATATAAAAAAAAAAGTAAATTATTCAAATGAATCATTCCTTTGATCCTTTTTTTATATCTTCTATCGAATATGCTACACATACTGGATATCATTTCAAGTTCTGTTTTTTTTTTTTTGTATTTGATGAATGCATATAGAATATAATGAAGAAGTACTAGTTCAAATTTATTATGAATTTCTAGCTAAATAAAAATAAATGAAATATAATTGGGATATTTTATTTGAGTAGATATGAACAGATTTTTATCAATGTCACCTTCGATTTGTCAGATAAATATGTTGTGATGAAAAAATATTAATTGCTATCAGTCGCGATATATTCATAGGAGAGATAAATTGATAAATATTTTTGAAACTTTATATTTTCTCTCAAAAAGAAGATATATATTGAGCATTTGTTTGTTATTAAGGAGTAAAGCTCATATATCTCTAGTGAAAAATAATTTTTAGTTAATTATAAGGAAGAATGTTTTTATTAATAGTTATATGTCCCAATGGTTCTATAATATTTGTGATATATCAATAATGGAGCACGTTCAAGATCTTTTTTTTCAACAAAACTTCCTTTTCAGCTTCGTTATATAACATTGAAATAGAAGTTTTCAAAATAAATGCTGAAGTACTCGATCCACGAGAGGCATATGTCTAGTCG